GTTTGACCTACTTTTTAGCTCTACTGGTCAGAGACCAAAAGAACTTGTATGATAGTAATGCGTCCGGCGTCCGTCCTTCTGTCTGCCTAGCAATCCGTCTGTCTGTAAACAGTTTTTCAAAATGCTACTCCTCCTACAGTTTTGGTCTGATTTCAATATAACTTGGCACACAAGTAGACTACACTAAGATACATAAATTAGTGCATCGGTTTTTGATTTCAATGAACGGTGTTGCTGTGGTTCTAAAAATAGAATTTTCTGTGAAATTCCTTTAAAACACTACTCCTTCTACAGTTTTGGTCTGATGGCAATGGCTCCTTTTTACTCATCCTTTGTTATAAGTACAAACCAGTAGAGCTACAGTCTCGACAGAGACTTCTGGTTTAGTCTTCTTTAAGAATTGGCAACACACCCGAGGCACATCTTTACATTAACTATTTCTTCCTAGTTTCCTACTACTACAAATATTACACTGTTTCCTATAATTGTCCAAGGCCGTAACAACCATTGAGGCAAGTGAGGCAAATGCCTCACTAAAAATTTTGAGATTTATTTTTTTATTATATGTTAATTTAACATATAATTATGGTGGCATATTTCTGCCCCTTGTGTGCAAGTTATTTTTCTATCAAATATGTCGACATGCAAGATAGATATGTTGACATGCAACATAGCTACGTCAACATGCAACATAAATATGTTGACATGCAAGAAAATTGCAATGAAATAAAAATTATAAAACAATTTTCAAAAATCTCAAATATTGCCCACATGTGACATCCAACATACTAAATGCTACTTATTTATGTTAACATGCAAGATAAATATGTTGACATGTAACTTAGATATGTTAACATGCAACTTATTTATGTTGACATGCAACTTATTTATGTCGACATGCAACTTAGATATGTTAACATGCAACTTAGATATGTTAACATGCAACTTATTTATGTCGACATGCAACTTATTTATGTCGACGTGCAACTTGGTTATGTTGATGCGAGATAAATATGTTGACATGCAACTTATAAATTGCATGTTGACATAAATATGTCGCATGTAGACATAAATAAGTTGCATGTCAACATATTTATCTTGCATGTCAACATATCTAAGCTGCATGTCAACATAAGTAAGTTGCATGTTAACGTAAATAAGTTGCATGTCAACATAAATAAGATGCATGTCGACATAAATAAGTTGCATGTCAACATAAACCAGTTGCATGTCAACATATTTATCTTGCATGTTAACATAAATAAGAAGCATCTAGCATGTTGGATGTCACATGTGGGCGATAATTGAGATTTTTTTATAATATTTATTTGATTGCAATTTTCTTGCATGTCAACATATTTATGTTGCATGTTGACATAACTATCTTGCATGTCAACATATTTATCTTGCATGTCGACATATTTGATAGAAAAATAACTTGCACTCAAGGGGCAGAAATATGCCACCATATATAATAAAAAAATTTAATAAAAAAGACTTTTCATTTTTAGCTCACCTGAGCTGAAAGCTCAAGTGAGCTTTTCTGATCACCCGGTGTCCGTCGTCCGTCCGTCCGTCTGTCTGTCCGTCCGTCCGTCCGTCCGTCCGTCTGTAAACTTTTCACATTTTCAACTTCTTCTCAAGAACCACTGGGCCAATTTTAACCAAACTTGGTAGAAAGCATCCTTGGGTGAAGGGGAATTTAAATTGTTAAAATCAAGGGCCAAGACCCCTTCCAAGGGGAGATAATCAAGAAAATACGAAAATAGGGTGGGGTCATTAAAAAATCTTCTTCTCAAGAACCACTGGGCCAGAAAAGCTGAAATTTATGTGGAAGCATCCTGGGGTAGTGTAGATATTAAATTGTTAAAATCATGACCCCCCGGGGTAGGGCGGGGCCACAATAGGGAATCCAAGTTTTACATAGAAATATATAGAACAAATCTTTAAAAATCTTCTTCTCAAGAACCACTGGGCCAGGAAAGCTGAAACTTATGTGGAAGCATCCTTGGGTAGTGTAGATATTAAATTGTAAAAATCATGACCCCCAGGGGTAGGGCGGGGCCACAATAGGGAATCCAAGTTTAACCTAGAAATATATAGAATAAATCTTTAAAAATCTTCTTCTCAAGAACCACTTGGCCAGGAAAGCTGAAACTTATGTGGGAGCATCCTTGGGTAGTGTAGATATTAAATTGTTAAAATCATGACCCCCGGGGGTAGGGCGGGGCCACAATAGGGAATCCAAGTTTAACCTAGAAATATAGAGAATACATCTTTAAAAATCTTCTTCTCAAGAACCACTTGGCCAGGAAAGCTGAAACTTATGTGGGAGCATCCTTGGGTAGTGTAGATATTAAATTGTTAAAATCATGACCCCCAGGGGTAGGGCGGGGCCACAATAGGGAATCCAAGTTTTACATAGAAATATAAAGAACAAATCTTTTAAAAATCTTCTTTTCAAGAACCACTAGGCCAGGAAAGCTGAAACTTATGTGGAAGCATCCTTGGGTAGTGTAAATATTAAATTGTTAAAATCATGACCCCCAGGGGTAGGGCGGGGCCACAATAGGGAATCCAAGTTTTACATAGAAATATATAGAACAAATCTTTAAAAATCTTCTTCTCAAGAACCACTGGGCCAGGAAAGCTGAAACTTATGTGGAAGCATCCTTGGGTAGTGTAGATATTAAATTATTAAAATCATGACCCCCGGGGTTAGGGCGGGGCCACAATAGGGAATCCAAGTTTTACATAGAAATATATAGAACAAATCTTTGAAAATCTTCTTCTCAAGAACCACTTGGCCAGGAAAGCTGAAACTTTGTGGGAGCATCCTTGGGTAGTGTAAATATTAAATTGTTAAAATCATGACCCCCGGGGGTAGGGCGGGGCCACAATAGGGAATCCAAGTTTTACATAGAGTTTATTGAACAAATCTTTTAAAATCTTCTTTTCAAGAACCACTTGGCCAGGAAAGCTGAAACTTATGTGGAAGCATCCTTGAGTAGTGTAGATTTTTAAATTGTTAAAATCATGACCCTCGGGCATAGGGCGGGGCCACAATGGGGAATCCAAGTTTTACATAGAAATATATATAGAACAAATCTTTTAAAAAGATCTGCATCACCCAAGTTACTCAGGTGAGCGATGTGGCCCATGGGCCTCTTGTTTTAAATTTGTACTTTAATGAATTATTTCAAGCATTAGTTCCCATTTCCGGAAATCGACCACTCCACTGTAGGTGTGTTTGATCATTTCGTCATTTATGCATAGTGTATCATGACGTAATGAAAATATGGATCTGTGGTTGAAAACAGGATCTTGTAGAAAGTCAAGTAATTCTGTTTCAGAAAAAGGTTGGTGTTGATATTTATGATACCAATGAGTCAACGGAAACATAGATAGATCATCATGTTTTATTTAATACATATGCCATAGTGCCCATTAGGTCTAAAATATTGCGTAATTGAACTTTGGCTTTAGGGTTTAGTTTTCTCCAAGAGTAAAACAAACTGATCGGATTTTTATTAAAAAATATTGTGATTTTTAGAATTCATTTTTTACCAAAGAAGGGTATTTCCTTATAATAAAGTATAATATATATACTTTTTTAGTCGTTGTCAGAAGGGGGGGGGGGGGCACTGTTTGCGTTCCGATGCATTGCATTTCAAATCATATGAACTTTTAACATTTCTCACAATCAAGATACAAGGGTAATTATTCATATGAAACCAACTTTATACTTTTAAACATTTCCAGATACTACTTCAGTTGATGATAGTAATATACCTGGTCAAAGTTGCAGTAATAACGAAGAAACAACATCACCTGTACTTCAAAAGAAATTAAAAGTTAGTCACAGTATACAAGAACTAGACCCTTGTAATTTTAAAAACAAGAATTTATCTGAAAACGAAAAGCTTCGCATACTTTCTCAAAGCGCATCCTACACAGACTCATACAATTTTCCAGCAACTAAAGGTCGAAAATATTCAAAAGATTGGGAAAAGACCTTCCCATGGTTACGGTATTCAGCAGAAGAAGATTCTGCATACTGTTCCTACTGCTTAATTTTTGGAGAAGCTGAGGGACTATTTAGGACTGTTGGTTTTAATGACTGGAAAAATGCAGTCGGCGAAAAGAGGGGTACTCTTAAAATTCATGAAAAAAGCAAAATCCATTCTCTGGCAAAAGAGAGGGCCGAAAATCTTATTTCTATTTCTCTAAAAAGAAAATCAGATGTGCACACAAGTATAAGTAAAGCATATGAAGATAGAGTCAATCGTAATCGCCAAATACTGCTGGCAATTATTGATGTAATCGTGTGTCTTGGACAGAGAAACATTGCATTACGAGGAAACTGGGATAAAGCACCAAAGAGGGAAGATGGGAACTTCCAATTTTTCGTCGACTGGAGGTCTCAATTTGACCATGTTCTCCGGGATCATCTAAAATCCACAGGTCCCCGTTACTTATCACCAAAGGTTCAGAATGAAATTATCCGTTGCTGTGAAAGAGATATAAGAGAGAAGATTGTTAATGACTGTAACAACGCTGGTTTTTTTGCCATTTGCTGTGATGAAACCACTGACGTTAGTACCAAAGAACAGATGTCTATATGTGTCAGATTTGTTGAAGAGTCGTATATCAGGGAGGAATTCATTGGATTTGTTGAACTAACTAAGACAGATGCAGAAACTATTTCACAGAGCATACTGTCCTGCATGGAACAGTGGGGACTTGATATCACAAAGCTAAGAGGACAAGGATATGATGGAGCCAGTGTGATGAGTGGACATGTCTCAGGAGTGCAGTCTAGAATAAGGGAGGTGTCCCCAAAAGCAGTTTATGTACACTGTCGGTAACATAATTTAAATTTAGTTGTGACCCACAGTTGTAAGACACTGCATCCCATTCGGAACATCATAGATAATGTTGTGCAACTGACTTGGTTTGTCTGCGCCTCAGCCAATCGCAAAAATATATTAAAGGAAGCAATGGCGAATGACTCGGACTTACTACAGCAAATAATAGAGGTGACTGAAGAGTATGATGTTAGTGGGAAACTACTACAAAATGCCGGAAATAAGCAGTCTCTCCAACCTCTTAGTGAGACACGATGGACAGCCCGAGTGGACTCATTATCTGCGATTATATCTAATTATTCAAATCTCCATAATGCGTTAATAACAATCGAGGAAAACAGTAGCGGGGAGTCAAAGGTTAAAGCTGGTGGTCATAGACGATTGCTAGAAGATCCTGAATTTATAATGGGGATAACAGTTGCGCAGTACGTTTTGTCATATCTTAAACCTTTGACACTCTCTCTTCAGAAGACAGATTGTGATATGGTCATTGCATTTGATGAGGCACAGAACACCTTGACTACGATACGAACACTTCGAACAGACGAAAAATTTGCTCAAGTTTTTCAAAGAGCTCAAGTTCTTGCAGATAGTATTGAAGTGTTGTTGCAACCTAGAAGGAGGACTGGACGACAAGTACACAGAGACAACCCAAATGTGAACACTGCAGAACAGCTTTGGAGAGCAACGATATATTACGCGTTTTTGGACCATGTCTGCACTGAACTTGAAAGGAGATTTCCAAGAGACCAGCGGCAAATGATGTTGGGTCAGTATTTAGTTCCATGCAAGTTTAATCAATTGAAGGACTCCATGATCGATGACCTGAAGGAAGTTTTTGGGACAGACCTACATGTACCTGATTCAGATAACTTAAGCCAAGAAGTTACAAGGTGGAAAATAAAATTCCAAGACCAGGAAGATGTACCAAGAACTCTTCAGGAAGCTTTAACTCAGGCTCATTCTGACTTCTATCCAAACATTAGACGTATTTTTATCATTCTAATGACACTACCAGTTACCAGTGTTTGCTGCGAAAGATCATTTTCTTCTTTACGAAGACTGAAAACCTGGGAGAGAGCAACGATGGGAGGGGACAGATTGTGTGGCCTGGCGCTTTTACATGTGCATAGAGATAAGTCTGTAAACAGGGAAAATATTCTCAAGAGGTCTGATGAAACTGGACATAGAAAAATTGGTCAGCTACAGTTCGATAACCAGTAATAAAAATTATACATCATGTAAAATTTTTATTACTGGTTATCGAACATCACGTAAAAAACGATACAATTTGAAAAATAAACACAGAAAAACATTAAAGTTTCATCTTTATTTTTGCGAAAACCCAGGAGCTTCCGGGGGGCTTCGCCCCCCTGGTCCCCCCACCAGGGCGCTGCCCTGGACCCGCTGGGGACCTAGGCGGTCCCCACACCCCTCGCCTCACTAAAAATATAGGTCTAGTTACGGCCTTGTTGTCCATTGTTAAGAACTATATTTATGGTTTTATCATTTTCGCAATATCCTGCACACTACACACACAATTTTAAAGCACAATATTCCGAGAAATAAGTTTTACTATTTGAATGCATTTGCTGAAAACACAGCCACCACATGCCCTACATGTATGTACAGCCACAAACTACCTTTGCTTTCGAATTATTTAAATATTTTACCCATATGATACAAGTATAGAGTACGAACAACACAAGTATAGACATTAAATAAGATATTCCATGAATTCATTCTAGTCTGTTACTAATTGATACTGAGATGCGAAAATCAACTTCACTGATAGCTCTCAGCATGGTGCAAGGAGTTAATAGAGAGGCTTGTTTAAGTTACACTACCTGAAATAAATGTCTAGAATAAAAAAAATAGTTTGTATGGATATGTTATATAAAAACGCACCATATTACGTAAATTGTACATTGTAAATCAATTTTGCGAATTTTTTAACTAAATAAATTACTTCCAGTTTAAGATTTAAAAATTTTTAAATCTCATCTGAGTCTCGTACTTATTCAATCACTATATAACATGTACATGATAAATAATATACCGTTTTTAATTACGTGTTTACGCTATAGATGCAGCAGTTAGCTGTATGGTACAAAAGTAATATGTGCCGACACGATTAAATGAACATGATGAACTACAAAGTAAAGAGAAGATCGAGAGCAAGATAAGCTGAACTACTCTTATCTACTAATTGTGGAATATCCCATTACCTTACTAATTGCCTCCTATTATTAGAATTGCACGTAACGCAGAATTACACTAATAAAGCAGAAAGAAGGTCGGGGATTTCCAGTTGCATATTTTTAGAAAAACCAGTGGAGTTATCTGACTTGCTTAGTGGCACTGGATAGTGAACGGAAGTAGATTTACGCTGACAGAAAGTGCTTTGCGCTGCGCTTAGCGCTTAATAAGAGAGGGACCGCTGACTCTTTCGAACCACCTCTAGACTTTTCACGTCGTTTCAAAAATTCTAGTTCCGAATGGAAAGTCATCTTCCGATTTTAGCAGCGCCCTCACCGGGAGGCATAGAAACTATAAACAGTATGGCGTTTCATTATAAGAAAGGGTAGTAAACATCGCTAAAACTTCAAATTTAAGCAAAATTTATTTGTGGCATTAATCATAGGATAATTAAATACTTTTGTTTGTATGATGACAAAGAATTGAGAACGAATTTATCTACAGTAAATAGATGAAAACCGTCTAACCCCGTCTCAAGTTGCATTTGTTCCAAAGCAGTCAGCTGTTTTTTTTTAAATCTCGACACTAAAAATACACTGTGAAATGTATTTTATGGTGTAGAATAAGACCAATTATGACGAGCTAAATTAAATTTGTTTGCAATGGTGGTTTTGCAGTTGCATGTATTAATTACGTGATTAAATACCTACATAGGTGTTACAGCTGTATTAGGTTTCATGCAGGTTGGTGCATTTCCTGTTTGTTTTTTGAAAAGAATAGTGATTACACATTCATTAAATAATTAATTTTTTTTAAAAAAGCTGATATTAACGTTTTTGAGTGTATCACATTGCTGTATACAAAGTAAATATATATATATATATATATATATATATATATATATATATATATATATATATATATATATATATATGTTGTATACATATCCACATGTATTTTGGCATTAAATAAATACAAAATACAGTTATACACCATCCTGAAACCAAGCATATAACATACTAGTCCAGCAACTCATACCACAGGGACTTGTTTCGGGAGTAATTTTTGACCAATATAGTATGTTATTATTATACTATGCTGTATGGGTCAAAAATTTACAGAAACAAATTCCTGTGATTCATACATTGTATGATTTACTGGTTTTTAATTTTCGTATAATAGTTTTATATTGTTTTAGGAGCCCCACTATTCATTGCACACCTTACACTTCTTATTATGCGGTACATATATATGCAGGAAAACAGTCCTTCTGTTTAGATCTACATTTAATATACTTAAAATCTGAAGGAAAAAAAATGAAATTTACAGTATATTCCTTGATATTAAAAATAATTCAAGCATTCTTAGCATTTATTAAGCCATTTACAAACATGTATATTAAATTGAATGTGTATCGAAACATTGTTCATACATTATCATAATATGTACAGATGTACCTGTGCCAAAGGGAAGATAATATTATTTTTTAAGGTCTTCCGTTTCAGACGGAAGACCTTATAGTGATTCTACTGTTTTTTCTTTTTAAGGTCTTCCGTTTCAGACGGAAGACCTTATAGTGATTCTACTGTTTTTAAGGTCTTCCGTTTCAGACGGAAGACCTTATAGTGATTCTACTGTTTTTTCTTATTATTATTCTTATTATTATTTTTTTCCCCAAATCTTGTCGGCAGGATTTCTCAGAGATGGCTGGACGGATTTTCCTGAAATTTTTAGGGATGATAGAGAATGAAAATACCCTGAGACGTTTTTTTCATTTTTTCAAAATTCACTTCCGGTCGTCAGATATGTCCGATTTCCGCTTTTTTCAAAAATATTTAATCCGAGTGAGATCTCAGAAACGGTAAGAGATTAAGGCACCAAACTTACAGGGATGATAGATCTTGATAAGTAGGCAAATCCATTTGGGTTAAGATCGTCCGCCGTCACTTCCGGTCGTCACAGGAAGTGTTCCTAAATATCGAAAATTTCAACTTTTCTTTTTTGAAAGTTTTTTTGCATCAGATTATAGCATCTTACTCGTAGTTTCGAAATATGTCAGTCCCACCGGAAACAAAAACGACAACTTCCGGTTACAAGAGAAAAACTGCATATTTTCAGTATTTTTCTTTCCCATAAATATTTTTTATAGATAAAGTTTTTGAAATGATTTTTAGATATGTTATTTAGACTGCAAATGACTACAGTAACGTCAAATATCTTTGGAAAATTCACTTCCGGTCGCGTGATTTCCTGTCCTCAAAATGAATAGTTCTTATAGCTATATCTCGGAAACGGTAAGAGATGTAGACACCAAACTTATAGGAGTGGTAGATCTTGACGAGAAGGCAAAATCATAAAGGTTAAGATTGTCCGCCGTCACTTCCGGTCGTCACAGGAAGTGGTCAAAAAATCGAAAATTTCAACTTTTCTTTTACGGAACGTTTATTGCATCACTTTATAGCGCCTTATTTGTAGTTTCAAAATATATCAGCTCCACCGAAACAAAAACGACAACTTCCGGTTATAAGAGAAAAACTAAATAATTTGAATATTTTCTTTCCAATATATATTTTTTATAGATAAAGTGTTTGCAACTGTTTTTGGATATGTTATTCAGACTGCAAATGTCTACAGTAACATCAACTATTTTTTTAAAATTCACTTCCGGTTGCGTGTGATTTCCTGTCCTCAAAATGAGAAGTTATTATAGCTAGATCTCGTAAACGGTAAGAGATTAAGACACCAAACTTTTACAAGTGGTATATCCTGATGAGTAAGCAATTCCATGGGGGATAAGATCGTCTGTCGTCACTTCCGGTCGTCACAGGAAGTGATCAAAGAAGTCCAAAAATTCAACTTTCCCTTATGGAAACTTTTTTTTATCACATAATAGCATCTTATTTGTAGTTTTGAAATAAGTCAGTTACACCGGAAACAAAGAAGACAACTTCCGGTTATAAGAGAAAAGCTACATAATTTGAGTATTTTTCTTTCCTGTAAATATTTTTTATAGATGAAGTATTTGTAATGATTTTGGATACGTTATTAAGACTGTAACTGTCTTCAGTAATGCCAAATATCTTTATAAAATTCACTCCCGGTTGCGTGATTTCCTGTCCTCAAAATGAGAAGTTATCATAACTAGATCTCGTAAAGGGTAAGAGATTAAGACACCAAACTTTTACAAGTGGTAGATCTTGATGAGTAGGCAAAACTAGTCAGAGAAGAATGTCCACGGTCACTTCCGGTTGTCACAGGAAGTGAACAAATGAATAAAAACTTTTCTTATGGAATCTTCTTAGTAATACATTATAGCATCTTTTTTGTAGTTTTGAAATATGTCAGTCCCACTGGAAACAAAATGGACAACTTCCGGTTATGAAAGAAAAACTGCATAAATTTAGTATTATACTATCCATAAATATTTTTGATAAGAAGAGCATTAGAAATGATTTTAGGACATGTTATTTAGACTGAAATATCTAGAGTTACCTCAAATATCTTTTCAAAAATTTACTTCCGGTCACGTGATTTTTTGTCCTCAAAATGAGAAGATATTATTACGAGATCTCTTAAACTGTAACAGATCAAGACACTAAATTTATATGAATAAAACAACATGAAGATTGGGCAAAAAATAAAGGGTAAAATGCGTACGCCGTCACTTCCGGTCGTCACAGGAAGTGATAAAAAATTGAAAATGATTTTTGTAAATGTTATTAAGACTATAATTGTCTAAAGTAAAGTAAAGAATCTTGGTAAGTTACACTTCGGCTGTTTGTTTTCCTGAAATCATTAAAAATATTATATGCCTTTTTAACATAGATAAAAGCTCATTCATGTAGATAAATAGAGGAGAACGGAAGACCTTCTTTGTTGCTGTAGCAACAAGAGTTTCTAGTTTCTTATTATTTTTCTTCTTATTATTTTTTTCCCCAAATCTTGTCGGCAGAATTTCTCAGAGATGACTGGACAGATTTTCCTGAAATTTTCAGGGATGATAGAGAATGAAAATACCCCGAGAC